GGGGAAGATGGCAGATGGGAGAGGAGATAGGATCTAGGGCTATTCTGGATGTTGTAGGAAACCACCCAGACCCCAGCTTTACACTAGGGTAGCCCATCCTCCAGCAGCTGGGGGTGTTGGCTGCTATGTCCCTTCTGGAAACTGCTTGCAGGTGAAGAAAGATGCCTCCCCTAAATCATGTCCCATCCCTAGCAGTCATATCCAATGAGCAGTCTGTACAGGGGTTCAAAGGCCTGCTTCCTTGTCTTGATTCTTGTATCAGTATCAACAATGGCCACAGGAGGGACTAAAACTGCTTTTGCAAATAGGATAACTTACTACTTCAGTTTTCCTAGGACTGAGTGATTTCCAAGGATTTGTAGTGCTAATCTTGGGATAGTTCTAAAGTGTGGGTACCCCTTATCACAGGTATAAGACAGTTCAACTTCTCTGCCAAACTTTCTTTTTTGGTGCTGGTCCTGGGGTTTGAACTCTGAGCCTAGGTGCAGTCCCTGAGCTTCTTTGCTCAAGGATATGTTACCACTTGAGCCACAGCTCCACTTCCAGTTTGTTTGTTTTTAATGAATTAACTTCATTGGAGATGAGAGTCTCGTGGACTTTCTTGCTTAGGGTGGTTTTGAATCTCAATTCCCAGATCTGAGCCTCCTGAGTAACTATGATTATAGGCCTGAGCCACCAGAAAACTTGTTTCATTCAGTCACAGTAAGCGCCACATCCACTTACTGATGTATCTTTGTCTGCTTTTCCATTACAGCTGGAGAGTTGGCAGAGCTGAGATCATTCAAGGTGAAAAGATTAAGCTATTTTTCATTTGCCCCTTAACAGAAAGTTTGCCAATCCCTGCATTTGTGGCTTATGACCTAAACTGCATGTGGAACTTGTAAAGTGATCATGTTAGAGCAAAAGAGGTAAAATGTCCAGATGATTTCCTTTGTCTACTGTCTCACTAGATCTTACAGGTAGAGAAATACTTAAGAAAAGCAAAAAAGATGTGATTTTTGTACTTATCCTTCACTCTAAATGCAGGCTCAAGTTTAACCATGGAAGTACTGAAGATATTAACTGTAATGTGAACTTATTTCATAGAACTACAAAGAACAATGTAGAAGTAGTGGACGTGACTACATTTCTACCTCTCATGGTGACAGACTGATCATGACAGAACAGACACGTATGATGCTCATCAGCTACCCTTGGCTGTCTGCCTGTGTTGATAATTTTTAATGTACTGGTCCTTGACAGAAAAAAAAGGTCCCTGCCTAGCAGGTACCAAGGATTACCATGCTATCCTATAGTATCTGAAAATAAAAAACTTTATGCAATGAATGCCACTACAAATCACCTTTACATGGTAACCATTAATAACACTGACCAAATGTTAAGCAACAGTGCTAACTTTTCTACTTGCATTTTCTCACTCCTTTAGTATTCCAAAGGAGATGATTCTATTAATATCCTAAGCCTACAGTTAAAAAATAAAGAGATTTAGCCAGACACCAGTGGCTCACTCCTATAATCCTAGCTACTCAAGAGGCTGAGATCTGAGGATCACGGTTTGAAGCCAGCCCAGGGAGGAAAAGTCTGTGAGACTCTCATCTCCAATTAATCACAGAAAGAGCTGGTAGTAGTGCTGTGGCTCAAGTGGTAGAGTGTTAGCCTTGAATAAAAAGGAGCTCAGGGACAGTGCCTAAGCCCTAAGCTCAAGCCCCATAACTGGCAAAATAAAATAAAAAGATTTAGACACATTCACTTGATTGAAAGCTACCTATTGTGTAAGTATTAGAGTTAGGACTCAAAAATCACATATTTATCACCTTTAGAGGTAGAAATAAATATAAATTACTAAAGCAAATGAGAATCATGTGGCTAAAAAACTACATGTGGTCTGGATAAAGACAGTGGATTAGCCGGGCACTGGTAGCTCTCGCCTGTAATCCTAGCTACTCAGGAGGTTGAGATCTGAGGATCACGGTTCAAAGCTAGCCCAGGCAGGAAAGTCTGTGAGACTCTTATCTCCAATAAACCACTAGAAAACCGGAAGTGGTGCTGTGGTTCAAACGGTAGAGTGCTCACCTTGAGCTGAAGCGCGCAGGGACTGCGCCCAAGCCCAGAGTTCAAGCCCCATGGCCGACTGGAAAAAAAATAAAAGGACAGTGGATTAAGTACATGTAGCCATGTCCACTTCTTCCTGAAACTCCATTAAATGACAATAAAAAGCTTTTTCTAAGGTAAAAAACAGAAAAGATGGAAGAAGTTAAAATGTAGAAAGCAAGAAAACTGAATATAGAAGGTAAAGCCAAAACAAAACGAAAACAATCCCACATTACAGAATTCCAAAAAGGCCCAGGAAATGGCAACTTCATGTGTGTCTGGAAGTAGTGAAGGAGACATGAGAATAGTTTAAAGTTTAAGTATTAGATGCTCTCTGCATCTCTATACATATATCTAATCAAATTACTTTTTTTCTTTTTGGTAGATCATGGGGCTTGAACTCTGGGTCTGGGCGTTGTCCCTCAGCTCTTTAGCTCAAAGCTAGCACTCTACTTGAGCCACAGTGCCACTTCTCGTTTTCTGGTGATTTACTAGAGATAAGAATCTCACAGACTTTCCTATCTGGGCTGGCTTTGAACCTCGATCCTTAGATCTCAGCCTCCTGGGTTTCTAGGATCACAGGCATGAGCCACTGGTGCCTGGCATTACCATCCTTTCTTAACCCCCTATTCCAGTCCCAAACCCAAGATATCTCCCAGGTGAGACAAGTGCTCTACTTCTTGAGTCATGCTCCCAGACCTTTTATATTTTGTTCTAAAACTTTTTATATTTTGTTCTAAGAGTCTTGCTAATTTTGCCTAGGCTGTCCTGGAACTTGTGATTCTTCTGCCTCTGTTTCCTGAAGAGATAGGATTAATGGTATGTGGCACAACACTTGGCTTAGAGTTTATTTTCTGAAAAGGAAAAAGTAAAGGCCTCTGGGTTGAAGGATGTTGAAAAGTTTGAGCTAGAGTACAATACTTAAAATGCAGAGACTCAGTGAGCAAACAGTGAATACTGAAACACACACAGAGGCCTCTCTACCTTAGGTCTCACAAAACCCTCTTCTCTTATTGCCAGGATTCTGGGAGTAAAGTGAAACAGTAGGGCTAACTTTTTTACTTCCATTTTCTCGCCCACTCCTTATAATGTTTTGAAGCAAAGCCTCATTCTTCACTTAGGAGACTAAAGTATTCACTGAGGAATAACCAGCTCAATAGGAAATACCTAAAGACCTGGACATTGCAGTTTTCCCAATTAAATGGCTCAGTAGATTAACTTTCAGCAAAGCCCAGCACCAACAAGTTCCTCCCACTCATAGCCTCTATTTTTTTAGACTCTTTTTAAAATAATATGAGCAGACAACCAAGAATAACGAGATACTATACCCAAGGGAAGCATGTAAAAATTGACCAAAGTAATTATAGATAAGACAAATTATGGAGGAAAAGGAACATCAAAAATTGTGTAATAGAGAGAAAAGGAAAAAGAGGAAATTATCTAATTTCTGGGAACTAAAGGACACATCTCTAAGCTTAAACAGATTTAACAAATGTTCAGCACAGTGAATTAAAATAAACATACAACAAACTATGCCATCATGAACAGTAAGAAAACTTGAAAAAAAAAAAGATCCTTGATCCTCAGAGAGAAAAAAAAAATTAGGTCCCACAAGATGAGGAATTAGAATGGTTTGGCAATGATATGGTGCCTTAGAATTCTGAAAACTAAAGCTATTTACTCTGAAAAGTTTTTATTCAGCACACCTTCAATCAGAAAAGAAATACAGTCATTTTTAGATCAGAAAGGTCTTAAATTTGTCTCCTATATTATCTTTCCCAGAAATGTGCTGGAAAAAGGGCCCCATCAAAACAAGGGAATATGCTAAGAGAAAACAGCCAATGAGATCCAACATGGACAACAGGAAAAGGAATCCCAGGGAGAGTTACCAGATTATAACTCTTAAATTGGGCAGGCAAGAAAGCTCTTAGCCCAGACTGGGCCAGGTAAGAAGGCTCCAGGAAAGACTTACTAAGGAAAATGAAAGAGAATATCCAATGAAACTCAACAATGTGCAATTTAGTGTTAAACATTTAAGTGGTAAAAAGTTTAGTGGCAAGTCCACAGAAAAAGCCTACAAAAACCGAAAAGGTAGCAGGGTGCCAGTGGCTCACGCCTGTAATCCTAGCTACTCAGGAGACTGAGATCTGAGGATCGTGTTTCAAAGCCAGCCCAGGCAAGGAAAGTCTGTGAAACTCTTATCTCCAATAACCACCAGAAAATCAGAAGTGGCACTGTAGCTCAAGTGGTAGAGCACTGGCCTTGAGCTGAAGAGCTGAGGGACAGCACTCAGGCCCAGAGTTCAAGCCCCATGACTGACAAACAACAACAACAACAAAAAAAAACCAAAAAGGTATATAGGAAAAGAAAACGAACAGTAGAGTCCTGATGATACTAGTATAATCAGAATCAGATTACACTGTACTGGAGGAAGAAATAACAAGAAATATATGCATGATGAACATAGACAAAAATAAAAACAAAAAAACCCCCAAAAGCCTAAGCCTTGATAAACCAAGAAGTAAGCAATATCTAAAACAGAACAATCATGAAGTAACAGTAACATCACATTATTAACACATACACAATTAGCTAAAATGAGGTGACTGTAATTGCCTCTGGGGAAAGATTACCCCTTTCTGCCAACAAATATATTTTTTTCCAACAACTATTTGACTTAAAAACACAGCACCTTTTCTTTGTTATTATACATATTCAAAACTAAGCAAAAATGCTGCCTTTCATAGACTGCTTGCAATAAAACACAATATCACTTTATCCTCATGTCCAAAACAAGAGCAACTCCACTTAATACTGTGATAATCACAACATTATAATAGTTACACTTAGGATTGGGATAGTTGATTTTCAGAAAACAGTAGAAAAAGAGAAATAAAAACCCAGGTTTTCTCAATTGGTATGTTTATTCAAAATAAAGAACTGATGACTGGTCCTGTGCTTAAATGTCACCGTGGTTGTTTGCTGATTTCTGCAAAACATAACTAATTGTAGAAGACTCTTCACAAATATACTCTGGACACAAAAATGTAAACAGAAATGACTGTGCTATTTCAGACATATTCCCCTTATAATTAACACTCGCTAGAAAGTGGAGTTTGATGTTATTTATCATTACACCAACACTCCCAGAAGCCAAATACCACAGGCATAAGGGCACAGGATAACCACAAGACATTTCAAACTTTCCAAATAGTTTTATATTTTAACTGCAAAGATCAGTTACCATAGTCAACTTGTTCTGAACAAGAAGATTTTTTTATGTCCATTCATTCAATCAGAGTCTCTTACACCTTTCTGGGCTTATTCATTTGCAGACAGGACGACAAACTGTAGTCAGGTTCTTCATATCATGCAGTCACGGTTGACACCCAAGTCTTCATATGCTGTCCAATTTCTTTAAGATAAATGGAGCTGAAAGAAAAACACAAAATTAGTTTTCACTCCTATTATAGATTAGTCCTAACACTGGGAGGTGGGGGACCTTATAAGTTTAATTCAAGTTTTGAGAACAATTTCAAATGGTTCTCCTCCTCTACCTATTCAACACAGCTAAACAAACTCATTGCCCTTCAAACAACAGCTTCCAGCTATGTGGGAGGCAGTAGTAGGAAGAATGGATTCTCAAACCTAGCAAGGGCAAAAATCCTAGACCATATCTGAGAGCAAACAAAAGGAAATAGGGCTTAGGTGTATGGCTCAAGTGGCAGAGCAGGCCTGACAAGCACAAGGCCCTGAGTTCAATCCTCAGTAACACATCCACAGCAAAGGCAAACAAGAAACAGCTAATTTACAAGCAGTTTGGTAAGGGGGGAAAAAAAAGGTAAAATTGAGGACAATTTGGTTGTTTTTTTCATACCCACCAGCACCCTCTCCTGGGGAAACAGAGCAATACAGTGAATGAGTACACAGGGAAAGCACTTAGGGGAGACAGCCTCAGTGAGCTCTAGTTTAGATCCAAACCATGTTTTCTACAGCATGATCTTGGCATGGCCTTGGAACACCTGAATCATCATCCCTAACTCTCCATGCAGACAAGCCAACAAAATATGATGGGAGTAATTAGAAGGATATTAGAATGAGGAGAGATGGGCAAATCATTTCTGAAATAGATCAGTAAAATAAAGAGAACTGATCTGCTTCCTGCTTTTAAATCCTGTTCATAACCTCAATGTCTTGCATTTGAAATTGAGCTCTCATTTGCAAAGTGGATACAAAGAATCTTAAGCCCTTGCTATGTAGCAAGTTCTAGGCTAGCCTTGAATTTGTGATCCTCATGAGTGGGATTACAAGCATTAACACTACACACAGTTGAGTTTTGTAAATTATTTGCTTTCTTAAACTCTGACAGCTTTCCTAATGGAAGGGAATCCCATGGAGGTGGACAGAAATAATTGACAATGGTTAAGGATTAAATGCCCCCCATACATTGCTATGACCAGAACCACTGCAAAAGAATAGTATTTTCTACTTTTTTGACGTGTGTGTATATATAAAGATATAAATGTAGTTACTGACTCATAAGGTTTCTGCTATAGAAACAAATTATTTAAATTTGAATTTCTGTGAGGATTAAATGAGTTAATATGTTCAAAGTGTGACTGGCATTTGATAACTAATAACCAAGTATTCATTGGGTTGTTTGTTTTTTGGTGGGTCAGGGGCCTGAACTCTGGGCGTGGGCCCTGTGCCCCTCACTTCTTCAGCTCAAGCCTGGCGCTCCAACACTTGAGCCACAGCTCCACTTCTGGCTTTTTCTGCTTATGTGATGCTGAGGAATGAAATCCAGGGCCTCATGCATGCAAGGCCAGCCTTTACCATTGAGCCGTTTTCCCAGCCCTGTTTTTTTTTTTTGTTTGTTTTTTTAAAGATACTCAGGTTCAGTTCTAAGCTAGCCTGGGAAGGCAAATTCGAGACTCTTATCTCCAATATTCCCCACTAACCAGAAAAGGGCTGGAAGTGGAGGTGTGGCTCAAGTGGTAGAGTGCTAGCCTTGAGTGGAAAAAGAGGGTAAAGGTCTTGAGTTCAAACCCCAGTACCGAACAAAAAAAAAAAAACAACGAGAATTTTAAGCTTACAGACCCCTATCTTTTCCTTCTCATTCCTCGAGGTGGGGTGGAGGGGAGCAACCACTTTCCTCTGTACAGATGAACAGAACGGTAGCAAAAACCTGGGACTTCGAAAGTCAGTACAGAGGATGGGAGGCTAGCACTGGGTGAAAGGCTTGGAATTCCTCGTCATTCACTGAATAGCTAAACGACCTTGGGCCAGGCCTTTTCCCTACTTTGAAGCTGTTCATCGCTGGTCTGCAAAAGCAGGGCGATGTTCTGGAGATGATCCCCAAAGCTCCTTAAGTTCGAATGCTCTTTAGCAATGGCGAGCCGGGAAGAAGAGCCGCGAGGGCTGGTCCACCACGTGCACGTCCTACCCACAGCGCCGAAGCCCGCCGCCCGCGAGGTGCGCGTGAACCCGGCGACGGATCGCGTCTCCGGGCTCCGCCCCCGCCCCTAGGCCACGCCCCTCGCCACGCCCCTCGGCGCCGGCCACTGGGCCGCGTGCGGCCGGGCCCGAGGCGGATCGCGGGCCCGGCTAGGTGGTCTCCCGGCCACAGCCCGGAGGACACTCACTGACTCGCAGCAGGGCCACGTAGATGAGGAAGTTCCGTATGGAGGAGAGCACATCCTCGCGCATCTTCCGTTTCATCTCCTCCGGGTCCAGTTTCGGCGCGAGACCCTCGATCCGGAACATCGCGACTCCGCTCAGCCGCTCCCAGACGCTGCGAGCACCGCTCCTCCGCCGTGGCCGCTCCGCAGCCGGAATTGGATCCCACACCACTTCCGGTTTCCGCCCCTCAGTTCCGCGCGCGGCTACGGGAACCTGCGAGGGACCATGCTCACCCGAGCAGAGCGGATCTGAAGGGTGGCCTGAAGGGGGCGCCAGCAAACAGTAGAGGGATTTTTATTTCCCTCCCTCGCTCCCTCCCTCCTTCCTTCCTTCCTTCCTTTTTTTTTTAAACCATGCTGAACTGGTGCTACCCTATTTGAGCCAGCAGAGCCAGACTGCAAGTGGTTTTAGGTGTGTGGAGGGTTTTTGTGTGTGTGTGTGCACATAAGTAACATCAAAAATAGTAATAGCTAAAATCGGTTTACTACTTAATATAATCCTCCTTATTCCTGTGTTAAAATAATCATTTCCTAGATTAAAAAACTGAAACACAGACATCTTAAAACAATATCTTACCCACATGTGCTTTCAAATGTTTCAGGTCAGGATAGAAAATGAACGATGAGGAAGAGAGATAAAACAGCAAAATACTTTTAAAACAGCTTAAGCGTTTTATTTTATATATTTACTTTGGAGGTGCTAGGGATTGAACCCAGGGCCTCACACATTGTAGAAAAGTGTTCTACTACTGAGCCACATCCCCAGCATGATATTCTATTTCAGTTATTCTTTTTAATTATTGAGAATATTTAGAAATTACAATTATAAGGTAAAAGACAAAGATTGCCAAGTGCTGATGGTTCACACCTGTAATCCTAACTACTCAGGAGGCTAAGAGGATCACAATTCAAAGCCAACCTAGGCAGGAAAGTCTGTAGGGGACTTCAATCTTCAATTAGCCACCAAAAACCAGAAGTGGAGCAATGGCCCAAGTGGTAGAGCAGCGGTCTTGAGCAAAAAAGCTAGGAAACAGCGCCCAGTCCCTGAGTTCAAACTCAAGCATTGACGCGTGCGCGCACATGCACGTACGCACACACACACACACACAGAGAGGCAAAGATGGTGAAACTTTCCCACATCCACACAACTACTAAATGGCAGGATAGTTTTATACCTCGTTGGACCTGTGAAACACCAGAGACAAGAGTTTTAAACGTTTTCTGTGTTATTATTTCTCATTTCTAGAGTTAATTGATCCTTACAAATTATAATATAGGTCTAGTAGTATAGCATGGGTAATTTAAAATCCGATCAGTATTTTAAAGGTGAGAAGAAGAAGGTTCAGAAATCAAGTGTACTCTCTAAAGTTCTTCCATTAGTAGACATGCAAGATAGAGTTCTAATGCAGATAATTGTAATAATTAAGGTGAATTCTCTTTCTCCTGCAACCAACTGCTTCACTGATAGTCTTTAATAGATAGTCTTTAATAGAATGGATATCCTGAGTCAGAAGGTAGGAGTTTAAAGCTATCAGCTTTTCTGTCACAGAATTATCAAAACATTGTTAATAGGCTGTTGCTATCGCAATTTATGAATGGCCATATATAATTCTCAGACATGAACCAGATGACGTGAGTTGCTTATATAATTCACTACCAGAATGTTCCTTCTTGATGGCACATTGCATGGCAAAAATGAATTTACTGTGTGAACAACTGCTTATTGCAAGCATTGCCACCCATCTTTCTGGTTGGCAGAGTGCAACACACTGGGGTGAGAATAAGAACCCATCTCCCTTATTCAAGCTTTAATAACCTTTTGCATCTATAATTCATGTAATGGAATAGCAGAGACTGCTCTGGAGTGGGAGGGGCTGGCTCCCAAGAAACAGCCTCCAGCCAACCAGAGAGAGTATTTAAGAAATTGACAGTGGTGTTGGAAAGCTGCAGGGTCCGTGGAAAGAACTTGGAGACTGGAGATAGACCTCCTAGCTCTGACATCACTACTCCTTGTTTTTACTACAACTTTTACTACAACTTCACTTTTATTGTAAAGGGAGGACATAAAATGAGAAACTCTTTAAAATCTCTTCCAGTTTTTAACCATCTGTGCATTTTAAAATTCTAATTGTATCACCTAGAATGAATATCAAAATATCACAAATGGTCCAATATACAAACTTCCAGTCTGTATGGGTTTCCAGTGGCAGGAAGAATACAGCAGTGAGGAGAGCTCAGCTCATCCAGTTTTTCCAAAAGCGATTGGGAAGAAATGAGTTCTGAATGGATAATTCCAACAATGTATAACTGCCCCCTGCCCCAGTGTTGACCTAGTTTAAGTGAGCAGTTCACATATAGAGCTACCATAATTATTCTTTACTGAGATGCTTTTGAGTAACTTGGCTGGCTTCATAGAAAACCAAAGATGGGGGAAATTAGCCAATAATAAACAGATTTTAACACCTGAATTTTATTTAAACCAATGAAACTAAAGAAAAAGTGCCAACTGCTTACTTGGTAGGTCATGTGACAAATGACTGGCTTGTTAAAAGGCAATATTATTCTTGTAACAATCCCTTAGAAAGGTCTGCTGCTTGTTGCTTTTAGTGACAGAGGAAGGTGATAGGAATACAGAGCAGCTGTTTTGTTCTGGATTCTTGGTCTCCCCCTGGTATGGCTCCTCTAATAGTAATAGAGAAAACTTATTCAAAGAGATTAGGTTCCTTTTTAAAAAGGTATTTATTACTTGGTATCAGTGGTGCTTTGTCCAATTACAGTAGGTTTAGGTAAGCAAATCAGGAAGGTTTCCCTGAGCAATTTTTCTCAAGGCTAGCATTCTACCACCACTCCACTTCTGGATTTTTGGGGGGTAATTGGAGATAAGAATCTCTCAGACTTTCCTGTACAGTCTAGCTTTGAACTGTGATGCTCAGATCTCTTAAGCAGTATTACAGGCATGATCCAGATAAACCTGGCATAAGAAAATATTCTTTAGGGCTGGGAAGATGGCTCAGTGGTAGAGCGCTTGCCTTGCATGCCTGAGGCCCTGGGCTCGATTCCTCAGCACCACATAAGCAAAATGAAAAAAGCCAGAAGTGGGGCTGTGGCTCAAGTGGTAGAGCTCTAACCTTGAGCTGAAGAGCTGAGGGACAGCGCCCAGGCCCAGAGTTCAGGCCCCACAACCAGACCCCCCCCAAAAAAAGAAAATATTCTTTAGAAAGGCAACAGTGGATCAAACCACTTCAAATCTTAGATCCACACCCCCCCTACACACACTTTTTTTTCTTCCTTGGGATGATGACAGATTTGGGTTTACTCTTTAAAGTCCTCTGTAATTCTTAAATGCCATAATTCTGCGCTTATCTTTCCTGTTCTCTTTTGAAGTAAAAGCTAGTGGCAGAGGATTTACTGTGATTCGCCATGAAAGGCAAACTTTTTTGAAAGAGTACACACATAATTTAATATTGATATTTGTATTATTTGGTCTGATCACAAGAGGAAATAGCAGCTGAGGTCATAGCCTGTCTTGTGTTCCATTTAGATCCCAGGAGGGATTTCAGAATCATTTCCTTTGCCTGATCTACTTCCAGATTAAACGGTATGCAAACATTCAGAATGTGCAACCTACTCAAGAGAGGATTTGGTGTCTTAGTTTCTATCACTGGGGAGGAATTCATATTGCCTGGTCAAAGATTGATGATTCATGATTGAGAAATAAATTCCATAAAATAACAAGAACTTTGTATTTTCTAATTTACAGAAAGAGGTAGACCGTGTATTGAACAGTTCAATCCTAACACTTAACAGATGGGGAAACTGAGGCAGGGAGGGACGCTTGTTAGGAACAAAGGGACCCAGAACTCTCTGGGCTCTCAGTTCAGCAGTCCTGTCTCTACCTTCCCCCATCATATCTTGCTGCTTTTGATACTTTATAGTGAATATTCTCATTAATCTCCCCTCAAGCAGAATGACTTTTGCTCTTCAGGAGGCCGAGATCTGAGGATTATAGTTCAAATCTAGCCCTGACAGGAAATTCTGTGAAACTCTTAGCTTCAACTGACTACAAAAAGCCAGAAGTGGAGCTGTGTCCCAAGTGGTAGAGCACAAAAGCTCAGGGATAGTACTCAGGTTCTGAGTTCAAGCCCCAGGACCCGCACATATACACAACACACACACACACACACACACACACACACACACACACACACACATTCTCTCCTCAAATATAAGGATGGGGAAATGAGGTGCTGTGCATCTCCAGTTTAAGAGAAACAGGATAAAGTGTGGTTACTACTCATTAACTGGCTGAGGGCCACCCTTCTCTTCATATTTCCACACCCATCATGATTAGTTAGTCTGGACAGTGTCATTATCCAGGTCACACCTGCCCTTCCTCTTGCCTTTGGGACAAGAATATGACCTGGAATTCCCAAAATAAACTTGACTTTGAAGCCCACTTACAACCCAAAATGAATGAAACAAAGGTGAGAACAGGGAAAGAACTCTTGGTCTCTGAATGGGGGTTCCTCTGTGGAGATGCTAATCCTCACTTAGTTGACTGGATAACTTATTTCCAGAAATTACTGCTTGTGGGTCAGGTATTCCCCTTCCTGTTAAATGGAACAAGTATTGTTGGTAGCTTTTTGTTTGATTGTTTGTTTTACTACAACGTGATTATCATTCATGTGTCCCATTTTAGTTAGGTCTGTCTTTCTTTCTTTCCTTCCTTCCTTCCTCTTTCTTTCCTTTCTTTCTTTCTTTCTTTTCTTTCTTTCTCTCTCTTTCTTTCTTTCTTTCTTTCCTTCTTTCCTTTCTTTCTTTCTGCCTTCCTAGGGATTGAACTCAGGGCTTGTTCCTTTACTTTTTTGCTCAAGGATGGCACTCTAGTACTTGAGTCAAAGCTCCACTTGCAGCTTTTTGGTGGTTAACTGGACACAAGAGTCTATGAACCTTCCTGCTCAGGCTGGCTTCAAACTGATTTTCAGTCTCCTGAGTAGCAAGGATTACAGGCATGAGCAACTGCTCCTGATGGTTGTTTTTTTCCTTCTTCTTTTTCTTTCCTCTTCCTCCTCCTCCCCCCTTCTCCTTTTCTTCTCCCCCCCCCTCCCTCTCTTCCTTCTCCTCCTCCCCCCCTCCTTTTCCTCTTCCTTCTGCTCTTGGG